GGTTTCTACATCACAAGTAGGTAAATGTATTTTAAAAGAGCTCTTTAGTTTTACTAGATTTCAAAGTCAACGATGGATGGACATGAGTGCTGGAAATAAAATACTAATACTCAAGTGTCAAAACTCTGGTTTAAGACTCGATCATTCATGTAATCTCAGAGTAACCATACATGCAAGCCACCATACAAGCAAGCTAATAATAGAGTATCTGAACTCTTTTCATTATATATGAAGACATAATATAGTTTTCTTTGTCTTTTTTAAGGATAAGAGAAATCACGTCAGTAGGCTGGCTCACAGAACATAGGGAGAGTTTATGATTGTCATTTTACCAACAAATGGTAGGCATATCCATGATTTCAGTGTAGTTAAAAAGATTTTGATTAAAATTTAGCCAATTTCAGGGAAAAGGAGTCCTAGAGCATTTTTGTCAGAATTCTCAGTTCTACACACCCATGGCTGTGGCAGAAGCATTATTATGGTACATGCGAACTTCTTATTTCAAGATGTTTGTCTTGAAAACCTCATCTAATAATCTTTCCTTATGGGCTCTTGGTACATTGTGAATTCAGCATACAAGAAAATGAAGATAGTGATAAAAAGGGATGGTTTTCAGAGTCAGGTGTTAGGTCTCCCACTTACTGGCTAAGTGACAGCACAAGGTAAATTATCTTAGGGTTTTCCAAAAATAATTTGATAATGCAAGTGAAGGGCCTTGGCAAGGTTAATGGTTTGCTTTAGTTTTAGCCGCCTTTGAATTTACTTCAAGAAGCAAATTCATTTTGCGACTAGAAGAATACCACAATTCTACAAATCAAAGAAAGGAAAAACAAAGCATTTATGACAAAAGGAAACCACATGGATTTTCATTCATAATAAAAACAGGAAAAAACTAGCTGAAGCACGTTTTGTCAAGAGTTGATTGCCTCTTGCTTCATTAAATGTGAAGCACAGTTCAGGTGAAGCTGTTTTTTATTTTCATTGACCTTAATAAACCCTGGGCCCTGGCTGGGTAGGTCAGTTGGTTAGAGCTCATCCCAGTATCCCAAGATTTCAGGTTCAGTCCCTGGCCAGAGTACATAGGAGAATCAACCAAGAATGCATGGTTAAGTGAAACAAACCAGGCTTGCTAGCTCACTCTCGATACCTTTCTCCCTCTCTCCGTCCTCTCTAAAATCAATACATAACAGAATAAGCCCTCCTTTTGCCCAAGTTATTTGGTTTAGCCACCCATTCCCCTGCATCCCTAAATGTTCCAAAATTCTAGTCATTTCTAGTCTGTATATTCTAGCTGCTTTTATTTAAGTGTCAAAATGTTTCTAATTGTCATAATCCCTCTCTGTTTTTGGTTTAACTAGTATCTTAAAACTTTTGTCTCCACTTGCTCCTTTCCTCTTTTTCAGTTCCTCACTTAACCATGAATTTAATTTTACAAAACAATTTTTAGCAGTGAGACATGAAAATATTTAAAATTCACAACAAAAGGTGAAATAAGGAAGAATAATACTGATCTTTACAATTATTAAATGCCGTTTAGGCACTGATCAGGTGATGGGGTGATCAAGAGTTTTTATCTATTGAGTTATGTTTATGGACCAAAAGTGCCAAATCTGAGTCCTTAACCTCACCACTTTGTCAGGTGTCTACTTGCTATTGGAGGCAAGTGCTCTACTCCAAGAAAAACACAAACGGGTGAAATAAGGGGAAGGGATTAGCCCAAAAACATAAGCATAACTCCCAGACGCAGATAACAGTGTGGTGATGGATGGGGGAGAGGGATGAGTGGAGGCAGGCAAAGGGGGGAAAACGGGGACATTTGAAGTATTTAATGAATTGGCCAAAAACTTAAGAGTTTGTAGCTCCCTTAATATAGAATTATGATTTCCTGAAACCCAGTCTAGGGTTTTGTATTAATGTCACATTACCTCACATGGTTTCTTCCATTCTGACTCCATTGACTCAAGAACCTTATTAAAGACAAAGCAATACCTACTGCCATGAACAGTTAGATAACTTTAACACTTCATCAAAAACCATGTCCCTGAGTTGCATCTCTCTTAATTTTGGGGGGTATTTCATTAAGTACTCTATTTCTGGGTTCTGAAGTTTAGCCACTATACAAACTATTTTGCAAGATGAGAATTTAAAACACCACACTCACTTTCCCTCTCTCAATTTTATTAGATCACAATGTTTTAGTTTTTATTACAGCTGTGTAAGTGTACTATAATTATATTTTCTAAATTTTCCAGGGGGTGATACAGCCTCACATTTTTGTTGGCTTTATTTTCTGTGGAGCTATTACTAATTGCCAGTTTTCCCCTACAGGATTGTAAAACCTTCTGCATACTGTTTTTATGGTCGGATATCAGGTAATCAAACAGTTCTAGCTCAGCCCTTCAAACCCACGCCCCCAACATCATTCCAGGAAGTTTCTTGGAACCATCTGTCTTTAGTTGGCGGGTTTAAAAATTCCAAGTTAGAAATAATTATCTCCACATTTTGAAAGTATTACTTTACTCCCTTCTAGTTGCTGATGAGAAGTCTAATGCTCTTTATTTTCGATGCCAAATTTTTCCAGGGGTGTACAACCTTTTGGTGTCTCTGGGCCACACTGGAAGAAGATGAGTTGTCTTGGGCCACACATTAAATACACAAACACTAACAAACTGATAAGCAAAAAAAAAAAATGTTAACTAAATTTATGATTTTGTGTTGGGCTGCATTCATAGCCATCCTGGGCTACATGCTGCCAGTAGGCTGCGGGTTAGACACCCCTGCACCTGTTTGTCCCCTTTGCCACTCTTAGGATTGTTTCGTGTATCAGAAATGTTCTGAAATCTACAGTGATGTGCCTTTGTATGCGTTCCTTAAGAAAAGAGTATATATCAGATGAGCCATGACCTTTGCAGGGTTAACATTCATTGCTCTGCGTTCTCAGCAGGGCCTTACCCTGTAAATATTGGTACCTTTTCCAGTTTTGGTAAATTTTCTAGCATTGAGAAATTACTTCTTTCCTTTGTTTTTGTTTTTAAAACGATTGGCCCCTTTTGTTGCTGTATTTGCTTTTTTATTCTATTTTTTGGGGGGGGGGGGGTATGTACTTACCCTGCCTTTTTTTCTATTGATGTTCAAAATTTGAGGTAACTTTTTTGATTTTGAAGAACTCATTCCTATACATTATCACCTCTTAAAAATTATCTTGATTCATAGCTGTAATACCTTATCTGAGACTGCAAAAGGACATTTTTTGAAACTTTTGTTCTGTATTTTGTTGCCTTCGGATTCTAAACAAAACTGGAAGTGCTGTTTTTAAGTTCCAAATCTACTTAACTGAGGGATGGTGAATATCAGCACCTACAAAATTACGGTCTGCCCTGGCTGGCGTAGCTCAGTGGATTGAGCGCGGGCTGCCAACCAAAGTGTCACAGGTTCGATTCCCAGTCGGGCTACATGCCTGGGTTGTAGGCCATGGCCCCCAGCAACTGCACATTGATGTTTCTCTCCCTCTCCCTCTCTCTCTCTCTCTCTCTCTCTCTCTCTCTCTCTCTCTCTCTCTCTCCCCCCCCTCGTCCCTCTCCCTCACTTCCCTCTCTAAAAAATAAATAAATAAAATCTTAAAAAAAACAACAACAAACCTCTATGGTCTTTCTTTCATTTGCTCAGTTTCTCCAAAATAAAATGTTTTGCAGGGAAGGGTGGTGGGGAGAATGGGAGCTGAGTGCCAGCATTCTAGAGTGGGCAGAGAAGGAACCCATAGCATTTCACCATTCAATAGAACTTTTCATGGAACCCCTCTGGTTCCCTATCTACATCATCATAAACTCTAGTCTTGTGGCTAGCTGCACAAAATAGGAGAGAGGACTTCGGTGTTTTTTTCTTACTCAGACCTCAGCAATGCCCATTTTCGATCCTGCCTCACTGCTCCCCTGTCTTCTGCCTTCCAGGCATCTGTCTGCAGCTTCAAAGCCATTCTGGGGTTCCACTTTGCAAACAATGGGCAAGGTTTTGCCCATTCCTAAATCCTCCATCTTCAGGCTGCCTGTGTTCAAATAACCAATCTGTGTTGACTTAACTGTAAAATATGTCTGCTTTTTAGGTTGTTGAGAAAAATAGGATAAATTTATATGTGACAAGCACTTAACAATGCCTCCCATATAGAAACATAAAATAATTACTGCTTTTCTGTTTTCCAAAAGTGTCAGGTGCAGTCTTGTTCGTTTTGTTTTGGGAGTTTATTTTTTTCGTCTCTTTACTGTTAACTGCAGAAAGGTTTGAGGAAGTCTACATAGGATTAATTTTAACTTGAAGTCCTCTTAATTTTTAAAATTAGCCTTAATGAAGCCCTAACGTTTCTGGGTGACTTTGGGCACTTTACTAAATTTATATTACTAATTTATATTACTAAATGTAAATTTCCCAGCCCCTAAGAAGTCACCTAATCATTTATTCTCTTTTGAAGATGCGTCCCACTTTATAGGGAGATCCCGTATGGTGTAATGGAAAGTGCTTTGGCCTGAAGTCAGAAATCCCAGCTCCAGCACTTAACAGATGTGTAATTTCAGCCAAAATTTTTTCTAAGACAGCTATTGCCCGGCACTCGGTTGGCCGCAGAACCACACAGTGTACTTGGCTGGAGCTGGGCTCCACCGGAAAAGTTTCTCCGCTAAAATGAACCGACTGTCACCCAGGAAAGGTCCAACTGTGATTAGGTGCTAAGGCGCGGGGTCAGCCTGCCTGCGACCCTGGAGCTGGAGCTAGGCGTCTCAGTTGGTGTGAGGTAGAGCCCCGCGAAGTGCACCCCTGCTCCTTTCTTGGGGCCTGGTGGCTGTTCCTCTACAAGCTCATCCAGCAGCGGGATTGGGAGAAGCCCTGTGCCATCAACAAATATGGCGGCCATGTTAGCATCAGCCCCGCTCAGGAGCCCGCGTTGCTTCCTGGGAATCGCGGTTTCTTGTCACCCGGCGCGAGGCCACGAGAAGTGGGAAGTGCCAGAGACCGTGCGGCCCTGGCGGGCTGAATTGCAGCAGCAGCAGCAGCAGCAGCAGCAGCAGCAGCGGCCGGAGTCCGTTGGGGGGTCTGCTGTGTGAGGTTTTCCGGTGGGTCCCAGCTTGTCGAGCGCACTGCCCGCTGCTCGCTGTCCCAGGCGCTGCTGGTGAAGAGCTAGGGGAGGGGAAGAGGGAAGGAAATTGGTCGTCCTTTTGAGGCCTGGAGGCGACACTGCCTGGCCAGTCTGGGTGGAGGGTAGCCATCGCTGGGTCTGCTCGCCGTCTACCCCCGCCCTGCCTCCACGCTCTGGCTGCAGAGCCTTTTGAGCCTGTCTGGCAGGCCTCAGCGGTACTGGTGCCGAGGCCAGCCGGGAAGGCCTTGACCTCGGGGCCGCCACAGACGGTACCACAAAGTTTAGTTGATCTTCAGAGTGGGAGAGGGAACAAAACTAGTGGACTCCATAGATCTTTAAAAGAATGGGAGTTGGCGTTGAAGGCAGGAGTGAGGCGTGTGTACAGATAGACCCCTGTGTAATCGCCATTAAAGACCCATTCATGAAGGAGAAGATTAGAAAGCCTTAATGTGGCATTTTAGGAGAGTCTTGCTTTGGACAATTTGCTAATATCTGTGTATAGTTTTATTTTAATCGTTTTATCTTGACTTTAGGAGCTTTTATTAAAATTTCTCTACAACCAAGGACTAAGGCTGCTGACAGGGAATTCCCACGTAGCTCATTGCAGAATTGCTGCATTTAATCGTGACCCGGTTCATTCTGTGGATCCCATGACTTCCCAGCTGACGAAATAAAGGTCTACAGTTAGTGAGAATTCCAGCACACCTAAGGAAGAGTTCAGAACTAAATCTATCACTTTTTATTTAGCTGTCAGAGGATGGAGACACTCCAAAACCAGACATGCAGAAACTCAGTTTCCTAGACTCAGCCTCCATAAATTTTGTTTCTAGATTGAAGTTTTGTAATCCTCACCATAATTTTTGAGGACTTTAAATTTGCCTTGTTTCTTTTCTTTTGATAGGAAAGGAATAATGCTGTCAGCATGTCAGCACACTCCATGCTCTGTGAACGAATCTCCATAGCCAAAGAACTGATCAAGAGAGCAGAATCACTTTCTAGATCAAGAAAAGGTGGCATTGAAGGTTCTGCAAAGCTGTGTAGCAAATTGAAGGCTGAATTAAAATTTTTACAGAAAGTAGAAGCTGGGAAAGTAGCTATTAAGGAATCCCATTTGCAGAGCACTAATTTAACACACCTAAGAGCCATAGTGGAATCAGCAGAAAACCTGGAAGAAGTTGTTAGTGTTCTCCATGTCTTTGGTTACACAGATACCTTGGGAAAAAAGCAGACCCTTGTGGTGGATGTTGTTGCAAATGGTGGTCATACATGGGTAAAAGCCATTGGCCGAAAGGCTGAAGCTCTGCATAATATTTGGCTGGGAAGGGGCCAATATGGTGACAAAAGCATCATTGAGCAAGCTGAAGACTTCCTTCAGGCCAGTTACCAGCAGCCAGTGCAATATAGCAATCCTCACATCATCTTTGCATTTTACAACAGTGTCTCCAGCCCCATGGCAGAGAAGCTAAAAGAAATGGGCGTATCTGTGAGGGGAGATATAGTAGCAGTTAACTCGCTGTTAAATCACCCTGAAGAACAGCAACCCATTAAGAGAGAATCAGATGATGAGGGCCCTGAACTTTTCCAGGTGACCAGAGTAGACCGAGAAAATATACTAGCAAGTGTTGCATTTCCTACAGAAATTAAAGTTGATGTGTGCAAAAGAGTAAATCTGGACATTACTACTTTAATCACATATGTATCTGCCCTCGGCTATGGAGGTTCCCACTTTATCTTTAAAGAAAAAGTGCTCACAGAACAAGCAGAGCAAGAGAGGAAAGAGCAGATTCTACCACAGCTTGAGGCATTTATGAAGGACAAGGAGCTGTTTGCTTGTGAATGTGCTGTCAAGGATTTTCAGTCTATTCTAGAGACTTTAGGAGGACCTGGGGAGAGGGAAAGGGCCACTATGCTAATTAAGCGAATTACTGTTGTGCCAGACCAGCCTTCTGAGCGGGCCTTAGGACTAGTGGCCAGTTCAAAAATCAATAGTCGTTCGTTAACAATTTTCGGGACAGGAGATACCCTAAAAGCCATCACAATGACCGCCAATAGTGGTTTTGTCAGAGCTGCCAACAACCAAGGTGTTAAATTTAGTGTGTTTATCCATCAACCCAGAGCACTTACTGAGAGCAAAGAGGCTCTAGCCACCCCCTTACTAAAAGACTACACAATTGACACTGAACGCTGATGATATCTTTTACATATCATCATGGATCTCTGGCTGGTGTGGCTCAGTGGACTGAATGCCAGCCTGCGAACCAAAGGGTTGCTGGTTGGATTCCCAGTTAGGGCACATGCCTGGGTTGCCATCTAGTTCCCCAGTAGGGGGCGCTCAAGAGGCAACCACACATTGATGTTTCCCTCTCTCCCCATCTCTAAAAATAAATAAATGAAATCTTTAGAAATATATATTATCATGGAAATAAGTTTTTATACCAGAGACTGGGTCTTCCTATCTTAATTGGGAGAAAAAAATCTATAGTAAAAATAATAACTGAGAGTTCAGAGTTGATTTGTTTCTCATCTATAAAGTATATAACTTCCTAAAATAGAAAAACACAAGAGCTTATTTATCAAGCTGTCTACATTATAGTACCTAAAAACAGAAGTACATCTATGTAAGGCTTTTAGCTGTGTCACAATGCTTTTATTTGTTTGATTCAGTAGAGCTACAACCCCACCTACTGGTAATCACATTTCATGGGCTGTGGCTGCACAGCATCTTGCATTAAATATCTGGTGAAAACAAGCTTGTTTTTTATTATATGGGTCTATCAGTTGGTAATGGGTTGAAGCTAGGAGAAATAGTGTGTAATTAATTTTAGATTCTAAAGTTACAGGCATTATCAATGAAGAGAAACTAATTGCTATGTGTCAGGTGCAGTCTGGGTATGTTTATGAAGAGTAATATAGAATAAGTGCTTTCTTGTTTTTCTTTTCTTTTTAAAAGTAAATTCTGACCTTGCAAGTCCTATGGATCTTTTGATACACCTTTGTAAAAAGAAAGATAGCTGACAATTACACTACTATAAACTAGGACATTTAAGGTAAAATATTAATTTGAACAAATTAAAAGAGAATTATGTAAAACATTGAAAAGAAATTCAGATCTTTTAAATACAAACAGCCCCCATATTGCAAATATTTGGATTATGAATCCTATTTTCGCTTTTTCTTTTGTAAGTAGCAAGTGAAAACTGCATTTATCTCACTGTTGTGAAATAGTAGCAGGGAGATTGCATACCTGTTGAATGACACTTTGTAATTGAGAAGAGATTTTTATGTCAAGGTTGTGCTAGGTACTTAATTTGTAACAAGGTGAACAAATTAGCATAGATATGTATTCACGTTTTAAAAATGAAAAAATGGAGCCTTAGGGCTTAGACTATGTGGGAGCTAGTATTAAATGATTTCATATCATTACAGCCTAACCTCTTTCTACTGTGCCAATTCCTATTTTGTGAGAAGGGAAGTTGAAATTTGATCATTGGGGCCCAGGAACATTCTGGAACAAAATGCAAAATTCAGTGTATGGGGCATTTTAGAGATTCTGTTACTCAGAATATATTTTCTAGGGTGGAATGCTGTAATTCGTGTTCCATTTTAATGCAATGAGGTATACAGGGTCTGGCAGAAGTTATGCCTATGTGAGTGTGGTTGATAGTGTAATTATAAAGGAGTAATAATTTATAGTTTTAATTTGAACATTTCAGCTAAAATGTCATATGGTGTGCTTGCATGTGACACTGTTTTGTTACAGAATTACGTGCTTACGATTTTGTAATAAAAGATTTTGTAATGAAAAAGCATTATTTGTGACAGATCCTGTATTTAACTTACATTGCAACTAAAATTGTCCAGTGTTGGAAATTGGACTTGGGCTTTTGGAAGCACCCATGAAAGTCCTATTAAGTTCTTATTACTGTGAATATTGAGCATTATTATGATAGTTTGGTATGAAAGATAATTGATCTTTGCCATAAGGAATTTTTAGTCTAAAATGGAGGTAGACAGCTGAAGTACAATTTTATTAAAATCTCTAAATGAATTATGTTTAAAATACTATTAAAGTAGTAATTTTTTGCTATGGAGTCAGGAAGTCAGGAAATGACATTTGAGGATTCTTAGTGTGAGATTTAATAAGATATGTACAGGTACTGAGTGGGATAGGGAAGGTACAGAAGTGAGTGTGAGGGTTTGTTTAAAGCCTAGGCTCCTGTGGACAGTTTATAAAGAATGAAACTAGAAAAGTAATTCTTTCCAGAGTGGCATTAGAAAGCCATTGGCAATTTTTAAGAAGTGATGGGCCATGATCATATCTCTTATGAGAACAATGAAAACTTGTAGTATGAAAGATGAATTAAAGGAAGCAAAGATAGGACTATAATGGCCTTGTCTAGAGCAGTAAGGATAGGATGTAAAGTCATGGGTATAAGCTGGATTTGTTCAAGACAGAATTGACATAATGCTAACTTATTCATTCAGTACACATTTTTTAGTGTCATGTGCCAGACAGTGTGAAGGGCCAAGCTTTTAAAAGAATAGTAAGAAAAAGGTATCAATAAATAGATTTCTTTTCCTGTGCACTATGAATTGATACTTGAGGACTTGGGGTATTGGCCAATTGGGATACTTACAGCTATAGGAAAAAACTGCATTGTGAAGTGGTCACAGCTCTGGTCCCCCAACAACTGTTGTCTTTTTCCAGACAATGACTATAATTTTAAACAACAATGCAAAGCAATAGATGTGGACAAGTAGGAGGGCACTATTTTCTGGAATGTAAAGAATAGTGTTACTCTAGAAATGACCTGTATACATCCCTCAAACCACTCTATCTGATCAAAAAGATCATATGTAACAAATGAGGGAGGTAATTAGAAAAATGACAGAAGTTAAGAGAATGTTCAGTGTTTAAGTTAGCCCTGTCAAGGTTAGCCCTGGCTGGTGTAGCTCAATAGATTGAGTGCCAGAACAGTGGGGGAAGCATGAGGTAACCACACATTGATGTTTTTCTCTCTTTCTCCTTCCTTTCCCTTCTCTCTAAAAATGAATAAATAAAGTATTTTTAAAAAACTCAATTCAGCAGAACATAATACAGCAAAGCAAATGTCCAAAAAATTATGAAAAGCAAAGATATGTTGAAATTATTACTAGGAATTGAAAGTGGAGAAAAATAAAGTCATGTTATTTAGAAGGAACTCAACAAAAACTCCATAATTTTTTACCATTAAAATTTAAAGCAGTATAATTTGGGATATCAAACAGGACATGTAACTGATAAAATAAATTAAACCAAGTTGAATCACTTTCAAATAAGGACCAAGGATGGAGAATGAATGCTGTCCATATAGGCAAAAGCAATAATATTCTCAAGAAAGTACAAAAACTAGGAAGGATAGAATAAGAGCTATAAGACCAAGAAGGAGATAAAACAGGTTTGGAGAAGATTAATTAGTTGTAGGGAAGTATACTATAGCTATATACTACTTTGATATATTTGGCAATCTTAAACATGATTTTCTTAGGAAGTATGAGTTACAATTGGAGAAGAAATAGAAAACCCAAATAACTGATAGTCACTGAAAAATTATTAAAGTACAGTAGTTAATAATCTTAAACAAATTTCCAGGTTCAGTTAAATTAATCAGATAAGCTGTTGCTTTATTGTTCCTCCGTTGCCCTTTCACTTAATGATTTTAGCATGCCTTGATTATGACCTGAATCAGTTATTATATTAAGTGGGACAAAATGGTGATTTTCATAATTTTGTTCATTTCCTTTTCATTTATTAGCTATAATTCTTTCATAAAAAAAGGAATTTGAAGAGGCCCTCTGAGCTGGGGTTATTTGGTTACTCTGAAATACAGTTACTTCTGGAATAGCAGAATATATCCTTCATTCTTTTTCTCAGGCAGCAGTAAAGTTTTTGGAGGGAAATTCTATTTGGGGAATATCAGACGTATGAATTAATGTATATTGAAATGTGTCAAAATCAATTACACTTATTCTTTTTTGTTACAATTCATTTCATTTTATTTTTTGGTGGTTATACCTTTATTTTTAAAATTATATTTTATTGATTATCCTATTAAGTTGTCTTGATTTTTCACACTTTGCCCCTCTCCACTCAGCACCATCAACTCCCTCAGGCCGTCCCCACACCATTGTTCATGTCCGCAGGTCATGTGTATAAGTCCTTTGGCTATTCCATTTCTTATTCTATATTTTACATCCCCATGACTGTTCTGTGACTACCTTACCAACTTGTACTTCTTAATCCCCTCACTTCACCCATTCCCCTATACCGACCTCCCATCTGGCAGCCATCAAAATGCTCTCTGTATTCATGTTTCTTTCTCTGTTCTTGTTTGCTTAGTTTGTTTTTTAAATTCAATTGTTGACAGATACATATTTTTTTGCCATTTTATTGTTCCTAGTTTTGATCTTTTTCTTAAATAAGTCCCACATTTCTAATAATGATTTGGTGATGATTAACTCCTTTAGATTGTTCTTGTCTTTGAAGCTCTTTATCTGCCTCTTGATTCTAAATGATAGCTTTGCTGGGTAGAGCAATCTTGGCTGTAAGTCCCTGCTTTTCATGACTTTGAATATTTCTTGCCAATCCCTTCTAGACTGCAAAGGTTCTTTTGAGAAATCAGCTGATAATGTAATGGGAATTTCCCTATAGGTAACTAACTTCTTTCCTCTTGCTACTTTTAAGATTCTCTTTATGTTTAAACTTGGGCATTATAATTGTGTGTCTTGCAGTGGGCCTCTTTGCATCCATCTTGTTTCAGCTTCCTGGACTTGCCTATTTTCCTTCACCAAATTAGGGAAGTTTTCTTTCATTATTTTTTTCAAATAGATTTCCAGTTTCTTACTCTTTCTCTTCTCTCTCTGGTACCCCTATGATGCAAATGTTGGACTGCTTGAAGTTGTTCCAGAGGCTACTTACAATATCCTCATTTTTTTTTGGATTCCGTTTTATTCTTGTTTTTTTTTTTTTTTTTAAGATTTTATTTATTTTTAGACAGAGGGGAAGGAAGGGAGGAAGAGATGGAAAGAAACATCAATGTGTGGTTGTCTCTCATGCACCCTCTACTGGGGACCTGGCCCGCAATCGAGTGCCCTGTGCCCTGACTAGGAATTGAATTAGCAACCCTTTGGTTCTCAGGCCAGCACTCAGTCCACAGAGCCACACTAGCCAGGGCCATTCTTGTTGTCCTGATTGGTTTGATTTTTGCTTCCTCATGTTCCAAATCATTGATTTGATTCTCGGCTTCATCCATTCTACTGTTGTTTCTCTGTAAATTGTCTTTATTTCAACTAGTGTACCCTTTGTTTCTGACTAGATCTTTTTTATGCTGTTCAAGTCCTCACTAAGTTCCTTGAGCATCCTTATAACCAATGGTTTGAACTGTCCATCTGATAAGTTGCTTATGTCCATTCCATTTAGCTCTTTTTGTAGTTTTGACTTGTTCTTTTAAATGGGCCATGTTCCGTCTTCTCATTTTGGCAGCCTCCTGGTGTTTGTTCCTATGTATTAGGTAGTACTGCTTTGACTTTGTGTCTTGGTAGTGTGTCCTAATGTAGTAGGTGTCCTATAGTGTCCAGTGGCACATCCTCCCCTATCACACAAAATGTGCACTCGAGGTGCACCCTTCTTGTGGGCTGAGCACACCCTACACTTGTAGATGAGACTTGATTGCTGTTGGCAGGTCAATGGGAGGGATTTACCCAGGCTAGTCAGCTGCTGGGACGGGCTGTGACCACTGATAACCACCCTCTGCCATCCATGGAGGATCAGCTGTGCAGGGGCAGGGTGGTGGTGCTCTGACATGGTCTGTAGTTGTCCACTGGCACAGGCTCTGGGGTTTCCCAGTAAGTTCTGGGGAAGGTCAGCTCTGACCTGTGTTTTGACCAGGGCCACTGTGCCTGATCTATAAAGCAATCTGAGATGGCTGCTACTTGTGGTGGGCTTCGAGATTCCAGGGAAAACCAAGTTGTAAATAGGCTGGTTGCTGCTAGCACCAGGCATGGTGCGCTCTGAGGCTGGCTGTTGCATGTTTGTGAGGATTTAGGAAGTTGTGAAGCATGAGCCCAGACCAGACATTCATATGGCAAAGCATCTTGAGTGGTCCCTTAAGTTGTGTGGGGCGGAGTCTCAGGGGATCTCCAGGGTGGGGCAAACTATGCTAGCCAGATTGACAGAATCTCAGAGTGGCACAGCTTGAGAGCTGTGTGGAGGGAGGGTTCAGAGAAGGGACAGTGGCCTCTGCTTGCCTTGATGCCAGACACTTCAGTTTCTGCCTATATGCCACTGGTGCGTTTTAAAATTGCTGCACTGGTAGTGGAGCTCAGAGGTAGTGAATTTGAGTAGGATAGTCTGTATGTGGATTCTTCAAGAGGAACTGCTCGGAACTCCAGTATTTCTTCCACCAACACATCCCCACTGGTTTTTGCAGCCAGAAGTTGTGGGGATATATTCCTGAAACTGAAACTCTGGGCTGCGGGACATGGTATGGAATTGGGCCTCCTTTCTCCCAAGATATCCCTCCCAATTTTTTATCTGCCACACATGGATGTGGGAACAGTCCATTCCAACACCCCTCCTACCAGTCTGGATGGATGTGGTTTCTTTAGTTCCATAGTTGTCAAACTTCTATTTGACTTGATTTCTGACAGTTCTGAGTAATGGTTGTTGTAGAGTTTAGTTGTAATTTTGATGTGGTTGTGGGAGGAGGTGTGCCATGTCTGTCTGTACCACCACCTTGACTGGATATCTCCTTTCATTTTACTTTTTACTAAGATTTTATTTTCACAGCAGTTTTAG